ATAGTGGGCCAAGGGGTGTATTAGACAAATAGACGGAACAACTTTTGAATGGAAACCTGAGCAGGGACTGGACTGTCATTTTCAAAATATCCTGTCAAGATGAAAAATAGAATAAGGGGTCTGGGACAGTATTTGAGGCCTGAAAGATGAACATAGCATGAAAATAATTTATTTTGGAATTTTTTGTCATTTCCTTGAATTTTGGCTAATTAAGGAAAAAAAAAAGGCAAATTGAATTATTTAAAATATGTAGAGGCCTCAATAATTCTTGGAAAAATGAGGAAAAAAAATTATTTGAGAGGTTATCATGAATTTTAAAATTATTCTCTCAACTTTTAGAGATGCAGAGGCTAGCTTTAAAATATTTAAAGCTAAATTATATTGGTAAAATGATGATTTTGGAAAAATTTAATTAAAGAAGTTATAGGTCAAAATAAAATCTAAGAAAATTAGAAAAACCTTTCCTCATTAAAAGGAAACTATTGGAGCAAAGAAATAAATTTTTAGGATCTAAGAAAAATCCAACCGATATTGTGAGATTATACAGTATAATAATCCTAAGATTGGTGGGACAAAATTTTTCATATTTTTCTAGTTGGATTGGCTCGAAATGAGGAGGGGGAGGACCTCAATGAAATAATACAATTTGTTCAAGGTTAGGCTTGGAAGAATGGAATTACAAATAAAAAATGGTGATTTTTCTCACATGTATGCTGGGTAGCTCTTAAGGTGTCCTATGTAACACCTTACTCTATTACCCAATTTTACATCAAGAGAGAGCAATTGGAACTATTCAACAAGGCATTAAATTGAAAAATTTTGAATTTTTAAATTTAATTTCTAAGGTTACTATTCATTGTAACCCTAATTTTGGCCAAAATTTAAAAAATCATAACTAATTCTAGAAAAAAAATGATATGGTTCAAAGTCCTACTTGAATCTTTCAATGAGATTTTTAAGGAAAAAAATACATCCATAGTATAATCTCTGCTTATGTGTGCTCAGTTTCAACACCAAAGTGTATTGTTTATTTGATAATTTTTGCAATTTTTCAAAATTTATGCCTAATTTTGGAAAGATATAACTTCTTGTACAAAACTCTAAATTTTACGATGTACTACTCACTTTAAAGATAAAAATATGATATATTGATCTGTCAAGTTTCATGACCAAACTCCTTTATTTGGCCAAACTTTGCCTCTATTTAGGTCAACTTTTATCATTTTTATGCATAACTTGCCATAACACATTCGTATTCATTCAAACATGGTTTAACCATATTTCACAGCATATAATAAGTATATCCACATAAATTACAACCCTTAAAAGTCATCTAAACATCAATCCATAAATATTACAATACTTGTACATAAAATTCATTATAAATTCAATAATGTTTCCTTCATCGTAAGACCACCTCCTTGTCCTATTGGTGTTATTTAGACATAGAGAGGAATGAGATTTCATAAAAATCTCAGTAGCAAAGGAATTACAATAATAATGTTAAACAAGCAAGGTATATTATAATCAAGTTCACAATAATCCACTTGTTTCTATGCCATGCTAGAACCATTTCAAACCATTCTAAAGTCAGCATATTAATGTATTTTGCCAAGGCATACAATGCAACCAATCAACACATTACCATCAAACAAGTTCAAATACAACATGGCATATATTCAAAGAATTATACTATGTAACAACCAAGCTTAACTAGTTTTTCTTTTTGGTAGAACTTAACTAGTTTTATTACAATCTCATTAGATTTGATTATTTCTACTCTTATGCTATTTCTTATTTGTTGGATTATTGGATTGTTGAATTATTTATTGTGATTAAAATCACAACTTCTTCTAGGATTTTATCATATTTGATAAAATCATAGATCTTTTTCATTTTTTTAAATTTTTTTGTTTTAATTTTTATATCGGTTGGAATAACAACTGGTGTTAAAAATAATATTTTCTATATTGGTTTTGTAACCAGTGTAAAAAGAGGAGACTTTTAACATTGGCTGTCACTACTATAAAATATGCTATTTTTGTCTGTTTTAGAGGCCTTTTTTTTTTGTTTAGGAGGAGATGTTGATAAAGGAGATGTAAATAGTAGATACTTATTCATCTGTTTTCTAATAGAAAAAAAATGCGGACTAGTTTTGTCTGTTAGCATGAAAGAGACAAAAATAGTCCACCTATTTTCATCTATTGGGGCAAAAACAGATGAATATGTAGGACTATTTTTGTCTGTTTTGGCTAACAAACGAAAATAGCCCTCTTTTTTTGTCTGTTTTTGCTCCAACAGACAAAAATAGGTATTTTACCAAAAAAAATGAAATTATTTGTCTAGTTTTTATTATAACCTGCAATTATATAAAGTGTATCGGAGAACCAAAACAAATAGTAGCGTGATTCCAGCAACAATGACAGCAATTCAGCAAAACCAAATCATATCATTCTTCTATACAAATAGAATCCATGTAAATACAAATAAAAAAATTAATTAATCATAACAATCAATGTAAATAAGAACTTTAGGCCAAAAAAATGTAAATAGGAGCCACAATTTCAAGATTCAAATACACATCCATATTATATAACGAAAAACAATCATTAAAACACTATCTCTAACATTAGTCATCTAGTCTAAGATGTAGAGAAGATAAAATATGAAGAATAATAGCTAGATCTATGGATGAGAACTCTCATTTGAAGCGTAAAGCTCAAGCCCTAGCTTATCAACTTAGAGGAAGAGGGGTCTAGCCACAAACCAGCTTTACAAAAGCTTTTTCAAACTTCTTAAGTAGATTAGCCATGAAAAAAAGGGGAAAAGATGTGAATTGATGGAGAATTAGGGAGAAATCACAAATTGCTGCCAACAGAGATTTTATAAAATATTAGGGAAAAGCAGCTCAATCTAGTAAACATGAACCCATAGAGAGAGGTAGCATTCAAGAACAAAAAAGATGAGATAGAGAAGTGGAGAGCAATGTGATCAATGGAGAAGACGCAACAATAAGAATAGAGAAAGTGAGCCTGCAGCAGTCATTAAAAATGGAGTGACTATCGTAACTTTTAGGGTTTTGAACATATATATATTAGAAGAAAAGCCATACTCGTTGTTTTAAGGATATCAGACAAGTATACTGTCATATAGTCGTTTGTTATCCAAAACAGACAAGTATATATATATATATATACTTGTCTGTTTTGGTCAATAGACGGGTATGATTATCACATACTCGTCCGTTATCCAAAACAGATGAGTATACTATAGTATACTTGTCTGCTTTGTATAGTATACTCGTCTGTTTTGGATGACAGACGAGTATGGTTCCATATTTTCATCTGCTCGTACGTGGATAGTATACTCCTCTATTTTGGATAATAGATGAGTATGGTCCCATATTTTCATCTTTTTGACTTAAATAGACAAGAATATGGACTTTTTTCTTTTGTTTTTAATGAACATATGAAAATGAGGGACGTAAATGGTATATTTTGTAGTAGTGCCTTTCTACACCACACGTAACTCTAGTATCAAATACCCATTCCAACTGGTGTGGAAATCTTTTTTTTTTTTTTTTTCCCTTAGTGGCATTCATAACCATCAAATATTGTCCTATGCTTATTTGACAATCAACATAACAACCAAGTCCTTACTTGACATTCACCTCTGGTTACTTGATGCGCTTTTATTTAATTGGTAAGTTTGGAGTGTCAAATATAGCAATTTTTGTAGTCACATTCATATTTCAATTTGATAGACAAAAAATGAAGCCATAGAGCACAACACCTATAATGCATAACCACATCGATCATATCAAGCCTATCAAAAGCTACACTATGGAAGAGAGGGGAATAAGAATAAAAAAAACAAGTGTAATCGCGTATGATCCTATAAGACCCAAGAAAGCTAACAAAGTATATCAACATGCAAGAAATAGTGGGATGAAGCATGAAGTGTAATACTATAAGACATGTAAATCAAAGTTGAAAGTAAAATAACCTACAAGCAAACATGCAGATAGTGAGTAAATAGTGGATATAAAAAAATGATAGTTAATACGAAAATATTTATAATCTTCTTATAGGTATTGACAATTGACAATCGAAAAAATAAAAGATGTAGCAAGGCTCAACAGAAGTTGTGGGAATGGTAAACTATTGGCGTCCTAAACATGATGCCTCGTTCAATTTAAAAAAAAAAAAAAGGAGCGGTGTTAATTAGTAGATACTTCTATATCTAATCTTTAATATAAGAATTAAATAATTAATTTATAAATATTAAAAAAATTAATTTGGTCATAAATGTGTGCTGTCGTTTTTAAAGTATCATTGCTAATCATGTGTATTGGTATCATCTCTTAATGCAAACTTGGCTATTTAACATGCTTAATCACTGTAGGGATTATATGGGGGAGGAATGAGTAAATATAAGAGATAAAGTAAATTTGGGTCTTATATTTAAAATCATATTGAATCTCTAATTAATTTTTATATTTAAAATTATAAGTATTGAATTTTCATGTATAAGTTGCTCATCATGTAAAGCTTCTAAAGCAAAAATACTCTTTTCACTAAACACAGGTGACATGATTGCCATATGGTCTTCCAAAATTGCATGTTATAGTCAAAAATATGTTCTGCTGTTTAAGAAAAAATAAAAAAATATGTTCTATTATCTTCTTGAGATTGAGTCTTTTCTGAGCTGAGAAAATAATTAAAAAAATACCTGTTAAGTTTTAAAAAGATAAATAGATTATACTAATTATTTTTATAATCAAAATGTATCAAAATTATATATTTTTTATTTTAAAATTTAACATGTATTTTTTTTTATTGTTCATTTTTTGTTTGCCCTGCATTTTAATGTTCTCTTGTGGTGGTTGTTAAATTCTTTGAGATATCAATTGCCTCCGCCCTAAATTCAAGCGCACACACCTATTCTGCCGTCTAGGGTAGGATCACGATTTTGAGATTGGGATGAATCCATTAGATGGTGAAAAACTCGAAAACTCAGAGCCATCAAAACGGAACCACTTAGCGAGCGAGAAAGCAAAGCCAAGACGCTTTTGACTGCTTCTTCAAAAAGCGAGGCATCGTCAAACTCTCTGTCCCCCTGAATCCGCCATCCGCCCCCGGTCCGGCCGCCTATGGATTACCCTCCGATCTACCGTCTTCCTCAGGACTCTCTTCACCAGATCTTCTCCTCCCTCCCTCTCCGTCAGATCATCGTCTGCCGCGCCGTCTCCAAGTTCTTCAACCAGTTTCTCACCTCTCCTTCCTTCATTCACTCTGTCTCTTCCCAGCATCCACCTCTTTATCTCCTCGCTCTCCGCCCACCTCACCATCGCCATCTTCATCACGCCCAACGCCACCATGTCTCCTCTCCTTCCCTTGATGTCTTCGACCCTGACCTCAATCAATGGCTCAAATTCCCTCTCGATTTCCTTCCATTTCGGTCGCTTCAACCCGTCGCATCCTCCCTGGGACTTGTCTATTTCTGGGGTGAATCGTCCGACTCCCTTGATTCCAACAAGTCACTGGTGGTCTGTAACCCATTGACTCGGCAATTTCGGGTCTTGCCACAGCTGGGATCCGCTTGGTCGCGTCATGGATCAGTCCTTGTTGACTCAGCCAATCGGGTTATGGTTCTTACTGAACTCGCGGCTCTATACTTCTCGGGCACATCAAAGCACTGGCTGAAGTTCTCATCGAATCTGCCCTCGAAACCTAGGAGCCCAATTTTGGTTTCTGACTCAGTTTACGCGCTCTGTGATGTTGGGTCGCCTTGGAGAAGTCAATGGAAGCTGTTCTCTTGCAATCTTACCAAGCTCACTACCTCGCAGACTTGGACTCGTCTTGAAAGGCAGGAATGGCGAGACGTGTTCGACATTTTGAAACGGCCCCGTCTGGTACGCGGAGTTGGAAATCGGATTCTGATGGTTGGTGGGTTGAAATCTTCCTTCTCATTGAACTCGCCTTGCTCAACAATTTTGATTTGAGGTTGGATTTGGACACATTGGA